TGAAAAATTTTCAATACCCAATTAACCGGATAATTGGTGAATAATTGGTGAATATCATTCGGCGGATACAACCACTACATATCAAGAGTTCGGTATGGTCAAACTGTAGCAAAAAATCAATTATTATTATTATTATTATAACAGACCCCGGTGCAGATCATTACATTATTTTGGTAGTACAAAGTGTGACTAATCACTTTGGGCCTGAAATTTCTTCTCAATCAAAATTTATAATACCACTTTTCATTCCAATCAATCAAAATAAAAGATTATAATAAAAATGTCTTCTTCAAAAAGTAATGTTGTTGTGAGTGGATCAACAAAAAATGACCGTAGTACTATTAGTAGTGGTGGCAGTGGTGGTGGTGGTGGCGGCGGCGGCGGTGGTGGTGGTGGTAGTGGTAGTGGCAGTAATAGTAAAACCAAAGTAGATTATAATTACATTTGTGGAATGAGATATAAACATTTACCACCAATATCAGGAGGTAGACGTAGTTTATACAATTTACCATATACGCTCATTTCAGAAATAGACACTTTAGCTATTGAAAATGAAAGAACATCAAATGTATACAATTCAAATAGATTACCATCTTTGACAGATATGCATATGGGTATGTCAATAGATGATGAAACAATCCCACGTATTTGGACAAATGACTGGAGTCAACTTAATCCTAAAGGTGTTAGTGTTGGTATTGGCATTGGCGGCATCGGTGGTAGTTCGCAACGTGAAATGCATCATAAAGATAAAGAGTTAATGGCACCTGCCAAACCTTCAGAAGGTAGTGGTACTAATAGTAATAAATCGGAAATTTTAATTAGGTATCCTGAAGAACCTAAAAAATGGTTACGCAGACAACAACTTTTAGCTGGTGATGAAAATTTGTACAGAGGAGCTGCACCTAGTAGAATGGAAAGTCGGTTAGTTGAATTTTTTTTATTCTATTATTTGTTGTAAAGAAATTAATAAATTAATGAATGTATACACACACACACACACACACACACACACATATATATATAGGTTGGCAACAGATAAAGTGGATAATGATATTTTACATCAGACACATGAAGAGCAAATAGAAGCGATAGAAGAATCATTTAGTGTAGTCAACGATCCAAACTGGACAAAAAATCTTAAACATCCACAAAATCCAGATCTTAAACCAGTTGAAATACTACCAGTTTTTCCAGAATTTGAAATTGTCAATGGAAGTCTGTTGGCCGAAATTAATTTTGATGGTGAAATACGTGATCCAAATGATTCATCGGACGAGGAGAAAGATGATTTTGATTATCGAGTAACAAAATCTTTGTTGATTCCAATGTCAACGGATCAAGAAAAATTCTTGATGATGTATGTGCCAAATAGTGATTCGGCGAAAAGAAAAGATACAAAAAGAAAATTCGATGAATTGGATGATTATGAAATGTTTCAGTATCGATGGCTTAGGGATTATGCATTCTCAAATACACCATTGGGTGTGAACGATGAACCAAATGAACAAATTTGGTTGGAAAGAAAAATTAAAAATGGTGAAAAAGAGGAGGTACAAATTAACACGGCACCGGTTCGATTCAGAAGTGAATTGAAGCGTAGATGTCTTGAAAAAAATGAATTGGGTAGAAGACCTGAATTCTATGGAAGAACGTCAACTATTGATGTTCATTTTATTGAACCTAAAGAATAAATGAATTAATGAATATGTTACAATTGAAAATTATTTAAATTTCCGTTTTTAAGAAAAAAACATTTTTAATATTTTTAATTAATGTTTGCTTAATTTTCATTTTATTATTTTCAAATATAATAATGTTAATAAAAATAAAAAAAACCATCGTTTTTTAAACTAGTTCGCTATTTATATATATATAATATTGTATTCTTTTTTCCTTTTTTTTTTTTTTTACTAAAACAAGAGTAAAATTTTCATTTCGTACTAAAAAAAAAAATTATATAAAACAATGAAAAATTCATATGATTTTTTTTAAAAAGTTATTAAATTATTAGCAACAAGCAAATATATATAACTAACTACAAAACAAAAAAAATAATAACAATAATGCTATGTTATTAAAACCTTTTAATTGTATCCCTCTCTAATTTCATATATTGATTGATATAAAAAAATCAAGAAAATTAATTAATTAATTATAATTATGAATTTGTATATATATAATTAATTATTATTATTTTTCCACCAAGCTCCAACATTATCTAAATTTGGTTCATTACCATTAGCGTTGGCATTGATTTCCCCGCCTCTCATATTATTATTAATATCGTTATTTTGACTCCAGGGTTGTCTTCCACCACCACTATTAGCACCATATCCACCTCCACTACTGCCACCATATCCACCTCCACTATTAGCACCGCCACTGCCGCCATACCCTCCGCCACTGCCAGAACCACCAAAACTATTGTTATTACCATAACCGTTATTATTATTATAACCTCTTCGTTGCTGATAATCTCCTCTATCACCACCACCGCTGCCGCTACCAAATCTTGATTGTTGTTCTTCACAATTACGGGCAATATGATCTGAAGAACCACACTTGTAGCATTTTTTTGCTGATGATGAATTATTACTACCACCACCCATCATATTATTATTGCCTCCGCTGCCACTACTGTATCTAGATTCATAAGATTTAAAATGATAATCGTTGCCTCCACTCATGGCACCGCCAGCGCCATTACGATTTTCATATGTTGAAGATGAATATTGCTGCTGCAATGGTGGTCTATTATTAATATCTCCTCCCCTATTGTCTCTTCTATTAGATTCAGGACAATTTTTTGAAATATGGCCTTTTTGGTTACAATTATAACAAAGTGGTACATTGTTGTTGTTATAAGTGTTATTATTATTGCTATTGCTATTGCTCATATTATCTTTTGGTAATCCAGCATTAGCCAACCATTCATAATTTTCCGGTTCACTACTTGCTATTCTTCCCAATTCTGGTGGAACGCTATTTGGTGGACCAAAAGTTATATAAACAAGATATTTTTTATCGCGATTGCCTTGTAAATCAACCAATGATCTTGACGTCATAGAAGCAATATTATTAGTATGGCTTTGATCCAAAGCCATGAGTTTTGCATTAGATTTTGCACTTCTTAAATCCTTCGCGATTGATTGAAATGTCTCGACAGGTGCTGCAGTAGTGTATTCTTCAAAAATTCTTTTGAATTTTGGTAGATCGTTTTCTGCTTCTGCTCGAAGTAACTGATCCCATAATGCTTTGGCATTTGGCCTTCCTGAACCATTTCCAGTACCTTGATATTCCCTATTTGCACCGCCTCTACCATATCCATTACTGTGACTATTAGTTACAGCTATAAAAAAAAGAAATAGGAATTAATAATATGAATTTACGTCATTGCAATAAAATAAAATTTATATCATCCTAGTAAATAAATAATAAATTAATTTACCAGGAGGGATATTGTTGGCAGTGGTAGAATTAGTTCTTCCATCATCTATACCTATTCGAACTTTGGGATCAACATTTAATTCTTGTTCAAATTTAGCAGCTTTCTCCAACCAATCCTCTTCTTTAACTTCATTTTCCCATGATTCAACACCCGTTGCAACTGTTGCAACAGCTGGTGTAGCAACTGGTGGTGTTTGTGGAGGGAGTTGTTGTGGAATAGGTTGCTGTGGTTGCTGTGGTTGCTGTGGTGTTTGTGGAGGGAGTTGTTGTGGAATAGGTTGCTGAGGTTGCTGTGGTTGAGGGGTATTGCCATCGATCCACCCTCTCTGACTATTGCTGCTAAAATTAGATGATGGTGCTTGCTGATGTTGAACAGGTGGGTGAGGAGGAGCAATTAAGTCACGGTTTTTTCCAGAAGTATCCGAAATGCCGTTATCGTTATATTGGTTTGGTTGTTGTTGCTGTAATGGAGATTTTTGTGGTCCATTATTCCATGTTTCGGCACTTTTTACGACTGGAGCAACAGCTGGTGTAGCAACTGGTCCTTTTCCCCAATTAGATTGTTGTTGTTGAGGAATATTGCCATCGATCCAACCTCTCTGGTTATCGTTGCCAAAATTAGATGATGGTGTTTTTTGAAGTTGAACAGGTTGGTGAGGATGAGCAATTAAGTCGTCTTTTCTAACAGTATCCAAAATTTCATTATCATTATATTTGTTATTTGTTAGTAGCGGAGATTTTTGTGGTGGTTGTTGAATTACTTGTGGTGATTTTTGATAATCATTATCATCAAATTTAATAAGATAACTTTGTGAGGTGTCTTTTGATAAATCATTATTTATATTTGAACTATATGATGGTGCAGTAGTAACAGCAGCAACATTATTATTAATCTTGGTAATTGGTAAAGAAGAAGAAGAGGAATATGGTAGAGAAGATTTTTGACTTTCAGTGAAAACATCGATAAATTGACTTAATTTTGATGGAGGTATAACTTTGTTATTTGGTAGAGTGATGGTGAATGAATATTTTTGCTGCATAAGATTAATTATAGTTAAATCGATATGATCAGGGTCTGTTTGAGTTGTGGCATCATTAAATCCTTTTTGAATAGCGGGACTCTTGTCTTTTTGTAAATCTTCTATAGAGCGGGAAAAGGATTTGAAAATTAGAAAGAAAAAGTTTTTTTTTCATCAATAAATAAAATTATAAAATTATAAATAAAGTTACTTGAAGCAAATGTTGGTTGTGAATCAATAACTTTAAAAGGTGATGGTTGTAATGGTTTAGTAGATGATGAAGTTTGAACGCTATCATAACTTGGATCCCATGCATCGTCATTATATACAGACATGTGATCTTTTTGAAGATTTCGATGATGATCGTTAGCTACTAACTATTTGATTAAATAATAATTGAATTGATAAATAAATTAATGATAAATGTAAAGAAAATAAATAATACGATTAATCAATCAATTAATTTATAATAATAATAATAATAATAATAAAATTATTATTGTTGTTTCATTATCACACGTACATTATTTTGATAAGATGGGGCTGTTTGTTCAACTGAATTTTTAAGAAATACGCCATCATCTTGAGTTTTTATTGGCAAAGAAGGTTGTGAAGGAAGTATTGGTGATTTTGATTGATAGTATTGTTGAGTTTGTGGGACTGGGATTTGTTGTTGTTGTGTTTGTTGAACGGGAGGAAAAGGTTCTGGAGGAACAATTGGTTGTTGTTGCTGCAATGTAGGAGGAGGAGAAACGATAGATGTTGGTCGTTGTGGTAAAAATGATTGTTGCTGCTGTTGTTGTTGCAAAGGTGGTGGAGGTTGTTGTTGTTGTTGTTGTAAAGGTGGTGGAGGTTGTTGTTGTTGTTGTTGTAAAGGTGGTGGAGGTTGTTGTTGTTGTTGTAAAGGTGGTGGTTGTGGTGGTTGTTGTTGCTGTTGTAAAGGTGGTGGTGGTTGTTGTTGTTGTTGTAAAGGTGGTGGTTGTAGCTGTTGTTGTTGTAAGGGTGGTGGTTGTTGTTGTTGTTGTTGCAAAGGTGATGGTTGTAGCTGTTGTTGTGGAGGTGGTGGTGGTGGTGGTGATTGATATTGAGAGAATTGGTTTTGTGATGGTTGTTGAGGTGGTGGTGGCTGAAAGGAAGATTGTGTTCGTTGCTGTGTATATTGTGTTGTTGATCGAGTATTTCCAGAGGTGGCAGGCCAAGAAAATTCAAGGTTTTTTTCATCGATTGGTGCTTCTCCCCAACCTTCGGCCATTTTATTTATTTCTTTATTTTGTAAAATTCTAAATAATAATAATTATTATTTCACTTTTTACCTTTCTTCTTTAAAAGTAAATCTAAAACCTTTAATACGATATTTTACCTACTACTATTAGTTATTTTTCAAAGTTTGAAAAGAGAAAATTTTAAATTTTTTATCAATGATTTTTTTTTCTGATATATTTAATTATAAAGATGCAGATGAAATTAATATAAAATTTTATTATTATTATTATTATTATATATTGTTATGCATGGCAATTTTTTTTTTCCGAAAATAGATCAACATTTTTTTGATTGAATGAGAGATCTACCAAATTTACCAATTTTTTTGTCAATTGTGTCAACTGAAATTTCAATACTGTTTATCTGATTGATATAAAGTTCCTTTAAAAATTTATTTTCTACAAGATATATATAAAAATATACAACAACAAATATTAACCTTTAATATGATGCGAGGAGTAAAGAAACATGATTATTAATCAAAAAATATTTTCTTATTGATCATATTAATATGTATTAGGGTTCAATAACGAGATTATATACCTGTAAAGCTTCTTTTTACATCATCGTATTTAATATGTATTAGGGTTCAATAACGAGATTATGTACCTGTAAAACTTCTTTTTTATATATATATACAAGTATTAGGTTATGTAGATCATAAACTTGAAGAACTTTTTGTCAATTATCCTTTCGGTTATTTTTTTTTTTGATTAAATAAAATTTATTTTATTACTAATTTATGCTATTAATTAAATAAACAGGCTTTCTTTGAATATATTTGATCATAATAATAACATTATTATTTAATATTATATATTTCGTTATTTTCATAAATTATTGGCATTGTTTTTAAAAGAGGAAATTAAAAAGATCGCCCACGTTCACCACATCTATCATCATCCATCATTATCATACTCTCTTATCTGCAAATGCATGTGCAACAAGTTGGATTCAAATATAGACTTACTATCATTAGATATAATAAAAAACTATGTTTTTTAAAAAAAGTTCACAGATAAACATTTGCATGTAATAGTTTCTAGAACGATTTCTAAATATGGTTAGTAACTCCAACTATGAACTATAGCCTTAATGAACAAGAATGTTTACAGTTGGCTCTGGATATAGTGAACCTATTATATAGTGAATCGTACTATATAATGAAGTTAGAAAAATTCCAATTTCATTATATACAAATTG